GACTCATGAAATTAAATCCATTGATTTCAGTTGATCTGAGGACTGAAATTCAGTAAACCTTTCACTAAGGGATGTATCCTGGGGTCAGAGTTGTTGCAATATAATTATTATCAAAACATTTTTAGAAGTTGGTTGAATGTTTACTTGTTGAGACCAGGACTTCTCCTGCTTCTGATAAGCCTAGTTTATAGGAATATCTTTTGGCACATGTTCATCTGGTAACTTCATTTCATAGCATTAGTTTAGGACTTCAACATATATTACTTCAAAGAATAATGGCTGACGTAACAATCTAATTACTGATTTACACCTTAAAGTAATTGGTTAATAAGGGCAAATATATAATATAGTATATTCATATAGCATTCTTAACAGTAACGTGGAAATAATTTGTCATTTCCTTTTTCTGGGATTTTTTACAATCTTCTGGTGGTTTCTTATCCACAAAATTAGTCTACTTCTGCTTAGGAATTTGGAAGAATTGGGAGAAAGAATCAGCCATGGTCAGCTAGGTATTGCCATTTGAGATTAGCTTTATTTAGGCTGATTTTTTTTTAATAGCTTTATCTGAGCTTTGGGATGCTCAGATGTTAATATTTAATTGTAATGTACTTTTTGAGTGTTACATTGTTTGCTCTGGGTTTCCTAAATTTTGCTAGCTTCATTAATATGTCAATGTATAAATGTTATCGTATACAAATAAATCAGAAATAAATAGCATGAACCATCATCACCTGCTACTATATTTTATAGACTTAAAACTGTATAATCACTTGAACCATTGAACACAACCATTATTTGGCAGCATGACTGAAATTAGGAGAAATAATATGTCTGCATATAACAGGCTGCAGTGCAAGGTAGTGGGGGGGGGAGGGATGGGAAAAGCAAACTATTGTGTAAGGAAAGCAAGTCTAAACTTAGCATCTTTCCTATGTGCTACTTTTATATGTATATGCAAGCATGACATTTACTTCAAATAAGAAACCATTTATAGTTTAAGCAAAAGGTTATACATTCTAAGGCAGTCTAAATCTACCACAGAGCCATTGGATAATGTTATTTCTTAACCATGTAGAAAAATAATACAATAGTTGAAACTAGCCAATATCACATATACCAATTTTCTTGGCACTGAAATAAAGAGATAACTAGGGTCAGCCCATAGTTACAGAAGAGCATGCATTTTCATTCATCTGTAAGTTAAATTAGCCAAATATCTTCTGTTTTGTACTTCCTGCCTTGGTATCAACTCTCTAAGTAAAGCAGACAGGAAATACAAGTGGATGAGTTAATTCTACTTTATTGTAAAACTATATCTTGCAAGTCTGAAGGCAGCAACTTTCCACTACCACTTTCAACCAGCTGAACAATCTTTGATTGCTTCCTAGTCAGCATTTTCCCCCCTCATACCCCAAACTCATTCACACATCCCATTACCCTTGCCTATAAATGAATAGGCAACTAACAGTGAAAGGTTCAAAGGAACTAATCCAAATGTCACATGTGGAAATGTTTCAGGCTCTTTCTCCAATTCTCATCAGTCTTTATTCATACTGTTTCAATTTTATCTCACATTGACATGTATCCGATTCAAATATTCAGCCTAGAAGAGAGATTGTTTCAGGGTCAGGGTCATTAAGGTGAAAAATGGCAATGCTAGTGTATATATTTTCTTCCCTTTTCTACTTTCCTCTGGCTTCATCCTCATGTCTACTGACAGGCATGATGATATCATCATGCAAATGACAATTACATATTTGCACTGACTTGCAAATAGCTAGGTCATTTCATTTTTGTGATGATGTCAACACCTCCACAGATATCCGTCCCACAACAGCTGAATGAACATGCTCCAGTCATCATTTCCTGTATCTTGTCCCCATCATGTATCCTTTGTCTTGTATCTGTATCTTTAAAGTCATATTGAGTTATTCCAGTTTTGAAGTATTGTTTTCCCTCTTCTCGTGACACATTTGTCATGCATTCTTTGATATTGCAGTAGATGAAGCTCCTGTTGAGTGCTTTTAGGGTTTGGTGGGATGTCATCTCCCATCTTGGAGACTGGAAATGATCCTCCATAACCACTTGGCTTAGGATGTAGGAAAGACTGGCACCTGGCTTCCACAAAGTCTGATCAGTACTTCCCAAAGGGCCCGATGGGTCTCAAACAGGTTCGTCTTTTGACAATGCTAAACCTATTTTTAAACTGTTTTATCTAGACTGAAGGTTGATTTAAACTAGGAAAGACTGCAGGTTCTGCCAACTTTGTTGCTGGTTTTGTCACCCTTGGATGAATTATTAGTTTTTGTTGCTTTAGGCAACAGGGCCATTTTTGTGGCCACACTTTTTTATGATTTTGTTCTGCATATTCCGTTCTGGCTTCATGGCTGGCCTTTGGCTATTTTCAGGCACAGTTGGCCACCAGGACAGAACTGGACTTGTAGCCAGCATTATTATTCTCTTAAGCACTACTAGTCAGAGACAGAACTCCAAGATTATTGATCATTATGCTTTCTTCTAATGTGGCCTGTCAGTCAGCGAGCAAATACAACAGATATGTCAAACACAAGGCCCAGGGGCCGGATGCGGCCAGCAAAGTGGTTTCATATGGCCTGCGAAGCCATCCTGGAAACAGTGAGGGAATGGCCCCCACTGCCTTGGCCCTGGCCCAGGCCGGCCAGCTGGGAGCCAATGTACAATTTTGTGGTGGCCATCTATGCTGAAACGCATTCAGTCTCCTGACTTTGCCCTGGAACTCATCATGAACAACCTGGCTAAGGAAAGCAAGCACAGCAGCAGCAGCCTTGAGGAGGAGGTAAGTCCAGCTGGGTGTCCCCTTGGGGAAGTGGGCCTGGGCTTGGTGCCATGGATGCTCGAAGGCCAGGCTGGGCATTTGACTTCTGCTACCCAGGGCGCCGGGCAGTCCACACCACCATCCAGCCCCCCCCCCCACATGGCCTGAGAGGAACAGTGAGGCTTCTCCAGTGGACCATGTCTTGGCACTTGCCCTGATCCCACCCCCTTCTGCCAGAGACCCTCAGATCTGTCCCACTCCTGCCCAGGTCCCCACAGGCACCCTTGAAGCTAACAATGTAGAGTTGGCCATGCCCACCCAGTAGGCCACACCCACTCCACCCACACCCACCCAGTAGGCCACACCCACCCGCCCCCCCCAAGGGCAACTGCAATGCTGATGCAGCCCTCAATGAAATTGAGTTTGACACCCTTGAAATACAATGTTCTTTCTGTTAGTCAGGCAACTGACAGGTGCTATTCCAAGCCCCATCTTTCCCCACCCCAATACTATTTATTAAGGAGAGCAATTGCTGAGAAATCCATGCACTGTTCTCCAGCAGTTTTTCCCCTTTAAAGCAGTAGCTGGCTGCATTCCTCATTCATTCTGTGGCTGAGGAAGACTCGACCATCTGGGCAGCCATTGCTATGTAAGTACCCTTGTCTGCGGATCACTTTATCACGGGCCATTTGTCGGCGCCCTTTTGCTTCCCCCCTCCCGCCCTTCTAATTTCGAGCCTGCAATCCTTCCAGGATCCAGGCGCTCCTCTGACTTCGCGGCTGAGTTCACGGGCTACCGAATCTGTAGCCACGAGGAAGCCAACGACATCGTCGATAGTATTCGGGGAAATGGCAGGCAGCGGCCAGGCGGGACCTGGACCCGTGGACTCGAGCGGCTCTCAATCTCTTCGAAGAACCCATCCGGCGTGAAACGAAGGTCTGCGGATGGAGGTTGGCTTCGGCGCCCGCCTCTTATTCAGAAGGGGCGAGCCGTGTCACGCACCGGAGTGGATGAAGAGGCGCGACCAGCAGCCCCGCGGTCACCTGCTCCAAGGATCCGAGGGAGGCGGAGCCTGAGAGAGAAGTCCCCTTCCGTTTTTACAAACCAAAACGCCGCGGCCGCGCGAGAGAGATCCCGCGCGCCTCGGAGCGAGCGAGCGACAGCGTGCCGGCCGAGCTCCGTCTCTCAGAGCGCGAGTCACCCACGGGGAAAGCGAGAGAGCCACGTTCAAGAAAGCTCGGGGAGTGTCCGGGAGGGGCTGAGGCAGAAGAGGAGTGGTGCTGAGGGAGTTCCACACATAACACACCTTGAGTGGTGGCCAGACACCGCACGAGACGCACGCACGAGACGTTACACATACACACACACACCCGCCCGCGCGCGCACACACAGACACACACGCACATTCGCGCACGACTAGGCGAGTGCAGAGGCGGCTCACACACCCCAGCGAGAGGGCGCGCGTGGAATCCGAGCTCAGCATCCAAGCCTTCCCTGCTTTGCCTCTCCCTGTCTCCTGTCTCTGTGGTTCCTCTCCAGCCCCACGCGCTTTCTTGTCCTCTTTTCTCCCCTCCCCTTTCCTCCCCAGCCCTCCCACCCCCACCTCTTTCCTCTCAAACTCTGCCTCCCCGAGCCCTGAAAAAATGCCTGCCCGTGAAGCGAGGAGAGGGCACCGGGTCTGTAAATAAGAAGTGAGTACTCGTACAATGGCGCGTCTCGCTGGCTCGGAAAAGGAAAAAAAAAAATCCGGCTGCCTGGAAAAAAAAATGCTGCATGCTCCTTTGCTTTTGCCGATGCATCTTCGCTCTAGGGCAAAGGAAGCCCCCCTCCCCCTGGTCCTACCCTCCTCATTGCAGGCGAACCCGTTTTGCCCATGCCCACCTCCCCCCTCCCCACTGCCTTCTCTCTCTCTCCTTCCCCCACCCCCCTCCCGCCTCGCCATCCCTATTGCACGGGCTCTTCCTGCTGCATGCAACACCTTGGCTCAAAAGCTCTGGGTTACACTTCATCTTTGTTCAAGGGGTGTTTAGCTTTGAGTGATGGGGGAAAAGGGGGGGGGGGGAAAGGAAGGAAGGTTTCGAGTTTGAAAGCTCAAGCAAAAAAAAAAAAGGTAATATTGTTATTAAATTTTTTTTTTTTAAAAAAAGATGGGGCTTTTCCAAACTCGTTGCCTGCTATTCTTGTGGAGGTAGTAGAAAGAAGATGTGCAGTGATGCTGTTGATTGAATTCAGGAGCATCTCTGGGGGAGGGGAAAGGGAGGAAACTGGTTGCTTCTTATTAAAAAAAGGGGGGAAGAAAGAAGGATGGGGGTTTAATTTTCCTTCAAACATCCACAGGACTGGGAACGCTTATTCCTTGTTGTGTGTGAAATGGAACCTTGAATCTTGGCTGGATGGAAAAGCTTCCTATGAGCTAAAGGAAACAGGGAAGAGTTTGTAGTAGCACTAATTAGAACAGTGCAAGAGGAAGACACTTTATGCTGCCATCCCATCCCCATTGTTAGTTTAGCTGCATGCAGCTTCCTTAAAGGGGAGTGGATGAAGGCAACTTGGGAACTGCACTTACCCGGGATGCCAAGATTTCCTTGGGAGTGTGGGCATACATTGCCTCTGAACAAGAGGGGGGCGCTATTGTTACCACTATGATAAATCACTGTTTTTTAAAAAAAGATCAGCAGGTGCAGGTGAATAGAGGAGGGTTTGTTGCACTAAACCTGGATTGCCTCCATTTTGGGGTGGGAAGGTGGATGGAACAGGGTGACAACACACTCAGGGACATGAGATCAAAATGGTAGTTGCTGTATCAAATGATGAAATAATAACAGGATAGTTTTGAGTTTCTCTCCTGCTTTTCTTCCCATTACACAGTTCTCAAGATAAGCCACCATCCACTTAACATCTTTTTATCGTTGCATTCCCAAGAAGTCCACAGGGCTTCACTGCAATTTAATTATCTGGTAGATTGCTTGGTTAAACTGCCAGACTTTACCATTATCAGTCAAAAAGGATCTTACATGAAAGCCTATAGGCAGCATCATTTAGTTACTGCCCTCAAATCAATGACTCTGGGCTACTCCTCTGAAATTAGAGGAATTACTTCTTTCTTATCTAGTGCAGTTGGAGATGGCTGTAAGATTGCATTTCTGGGCTCAGAAGAATGAGATTGTGTCAGGAACCTTATTTTTGTGGTAAAAGTTGTCCCAGAGCCATTATAATATTGGAATTAGGTACTGATAGTCACTCATCCTAGGTTTGTAGAACTTGGGAAAGATTAACTACTTGATGCCATTGTGCAGTAAGTCATAAAGAATATTCATCCGCAGCTTCTTCCACCTTCTGTCCATTATGGAGGAGAAAACCCAAATTAACTGCTTATTACATGTTATCTTTGTCTTCAAACCTAGTCTTTCAACATTTGAAGATGCTGCAAAGTTATAGAGTAAGAACATATCCTGAAGAACATAGTTTGCATATGGAAAATAATGCATTATGCTCTTTAAAACTTGCCTTCTTTCAGAGTAATGAGGATGGAAGAGGAGGGACAGAGATCTATATCTCTTTTTAGGTGTATGATTTACCTTGACTATCAGGTTCATTCAGAAAAATGAGAAGGAAGGACTACATTGAATATTGCCAATATCTTAATGACTTGAAAGGTAATGTTATATATCTGGACATACTGTTTTTGGCAATAATTATAAGGAATGTTGGGACAATGCATTAGTGCATTATATCAACAACAGTGTCAATACATCAATAGGTAGCTGCAAATAAGAGAGAGGGAGGGAAGACTTTTATATGAGATAGCATCTTATGGATAGAATTACCTAAAAATGTGGTTCTGTCATTGTTAGTTTGTTTATTCTCAGATATGGGCAGAAATTTTGCAACCCACTTTCTTTAAATGACTTTCACTTAATTAATAAAGCAGTTGGTGATATTCTAATAAATAAGAGTTAAAAGATTTCCGTGAGAAAAAAATATAGAGATGGATTACTAACACATTAATGGTAGGCACATCATGCGTGAGATTTCTGATAAATTGTGCATGCATGCATACATGTGTGTGTGCATATATGCACAAAAATATATAGTTTAATATTCAGCATCTCTGGTATTATTTAAAATAGATCAGGATTTGGAAAGCAAAGTGATAATCTGATGGGATATTAATTGGAAATTATATCTTCAAATAATCAATACTACATCATTAGTTTGGCGGCCAGTAATTTGCGTGATATTTGGACAATAGATCTAGTAATAAGGTTATATGAGAGTATGGACTATTAAATGTAATAATTTTATCACAACAGATTGCTGCAATCCTTGATCCATAATAAGTTGTTCAACAGGTAGAGAAGTTGAATTCATTTCTAGAGCTACAGTCTCTGAAGTTAAATTAGAACAATAAGTAGCTTATCTCTCTCCTTGGTCTAGCAAGGAAAATACCAAAATAAATGTTGCCAGGTGTTTTAAAATTAACATTCTGCTTCTCTTCCATCCTTTTTCTTACTAGTGGCGGCACCTGACCTGTTGGACCCCAAATCTGCCACTCAGAACCTCAAGCCACGGCTGTCATTTTCTACCAAGCCCACTGTACTTGCTTCACGGGAGGAAAGTGATACAACTATTAATGTTATGAAATGGAAGACGGTATCAACCATTTTTCTAGTGGTGGTTTTGTATTTAATTATTGGAGCTACTGTGTTCAAAGCTCTGGAGCAGCCACATGAAACCAACCAGAGAACCACTATTGTGATCCAGAAGCAAATGTTTGTGTCAGAGCATGCCTGTGTGAATGACACTGAACTTGAAGATCTAATTCAGGTAATTTCCTGTATTGAAATGTGTTCTTGCCATAGATTTAAATAAAACAGTTTTGATATTTCTGTTCCAGTTACAATGTGGTAGAACTGATATTTGGCACAATAATTTGATTTATGTTGTCATGTATAAAAAGCATTACTAATCCCAGTTTGGTTACTAGACTTGCATTCAATATAATCTTCCCATTAAATGCTATTCTTGTGTTTCTTAAATTGTTATTCATTGCCAGATGTAATCCAGTATACTTCTGTTACATTGGGTCAGTTGCAAATTGATTTACTTGGGAAACAAGGCAGAAAAGATTATTTCTGGGCAAAAGCGAGGAGGCTTTGGTTTTAACATCTCACTTTCTACTTGGATATTTATAATCATTCTTTTACTTCTTCTGCCACTTAGACTACCATTATTACATGGAAAACAGTGCCAAATTATACTAAGAATCCCATATATGTTATTTTAAAATACTCTTGCAAAGTTTACATTATGCTCTCATGTTGTTAATGGATTTATCATAGAAACTTATGCTTTTCTTGTTTTTTTTATAAATTTGTCCTCTTTTTCTATTAACCTGTCATCTTTTGTGATTACTTAATTCTGCTTGAATATATACTATGTTGAGAACAAGAGCTCACTTATTCATTCATAGTAAGATCAGTTTTGCTTCAGTGATGATATTTCCTTGTATGATTGAACACATAAACATTATTTCAAAACTTTTTCAGAAAGATTTCTTGTTCCTGGTATACTAATGCACTATTTAGAATAGAACGGAATACTTTAATGGCCAAGTGTGATTAGACACACAAGGAATTTGTCTCCCGTGCAAAAGCTCTCAGTGTACATGCAAAGTAACAGAGTAATAATCATAATAATGATACCAATAAGAGGGGATAGTAAAGGAAGATGGGAAGGATAATGATAATATTACGGCTAAACAACGTGGGTAAATAGATATAAGACTGTACTGTGAGAATTAGGTGTTCAGCAGAGTGATGGCATGAGGGGAAAAAAACCTATCCCTGTGTCTACTTGTTTTGGCCTCCAATGCCCCAGAGCCCCATCCTGAGGGGAGGAATGGAAACAGTTTATGTCCAGGATATGAGGGGGTCTGTAGATATTTTTTCAGCCCTCCTTCTGATATAAATTATAAAGTTTGTCTTTAAAATAAATTTAATAATAACATAATAACAATATAATAGTATAGGGGGTACCTTGCTCAATAGTAGTAACTGTGAGAGGATCTCATAGTTCTAGTGGACAATCACTTAAATATGAGCCAGCAGTGTGCTGCAGCTGCCAAAAAAACCATCACAGTGCTGGGCTGCAATAACAGATGGATAGAATCAAGATCACGTGAAGTATTAATACCACTCTACAATGCCTTGATAAGGCCACACTTGGAATACTGCATCCAGGTTTGGTCACCACGATGTAAAAAAGATGTTGAGACTCTAGAAAGAGTACAAAGAAGAGCAACAAAGATGATTAGGGGACTGGAGGCTAAAACATATAAGGAACTGTTGCTGGAATTGGGTATGTCTAGTTTAATGAAGAGAAGGATGAGGGGGACATGATAGCAGTGTTCCAATATCTCAGGGGCTGCCACAAAGAAGAGGGAGTCAAGCTATTCTCCAAAGTGCCTGAAGGCAGGACAAGAAGCAACGGGTGGAAACTAATCAAGGAGAGAAGCAACCTAGAACTAAGGAGAAACTTTCTGACAGTTAGAACAATTAATCAGTGGAAAAACCTCCAGAAGCTGTGAATGCTTCAACATTGGAAATTTTTAAGAAGAGACTGGACAGCCATTTTTCAAAATGGTATAGGGTTTCCTGCCTGAGCAGGGAGTTGGACTAGATGACCTCCAAGATCCCTTCCAACTTTATTATCATTATTATTATTATTATTATTATTATTATTATTATTATTATTATTATTACTACTACTACTACTACTACTACTATTATTATTATTTAAATGTACTTATAATAAATAAATTTATACATATGTAAATAAATATATTTATAATAAATATATTTATAATGACATAAAATTACGTCATTATAAAATGACATTTATATTTATGCAATATGCTTCAATCAAATGAGAAATAGTTACTGTACTTCAAAATGGGGAATAATTGCCTGAAGCAATTATACAAATTCAAAAGGTTGCTGAATTTTATTTATATATATTATCAAGGGAAAAATAGCTTGGTTAAAGCATCCATCTATGATGAATACAGGCTTCCTTTCCCTTCCTGCTAGAAAATTTCTCTAAGCAAATGATACATATAAACATTCTCAAATTAAAATCACATCAATCCACACTCCAGAGTGATTTTTTTTATAACTTCACCTTATGTGGATAACTGTCATCCATGATCCTGATTGATTAGTTTGAATTTTGCTGACATGGGTAAAACTACTCCCAAGATTAATTAAAAAAAGATTTAAGTCATCTCCATTCTCAGATCAGTAGGCTTATCTAGCACAAAGAAATCCAAAGCTTTTAGCTACATTTTGAAATAAAACAAAATAGATGTTACTATATAAAACTGATCAGAGTAGCTATTTCAACTTAATATGAACTTTAACCTTTGATGGTACTTAAAATGTAATTTACTGAGGCTTTGTTCCACACAAAAGACAAAATCTCTAAATCAGAGGTGTCCAAGCTTGACAACTCTAAGACCTGTGGACTTCACAGAATTCCTTAGCCAGACACCCTGGTTGCAAATTCTGGGAGTTGAAATCCATAAGTCTTAAAGTTGCCTCCTGCTCTAAATGAAGCTTTCCCATAGGTGGTTTCTAAAGAGAGAGGTTCAGACTGGCCAGTAATGATACTGGGAAATCTGACCAGGATTTTTATAAGATGTTCTGGTTTAGAAGAATGCTAATAAGAAAATCAGCATGGACAGCAGATTCATACAGTTTTTACACCCTCAATGTCTCTTGTTTGAAGAATGATCTAAATATGAGGAAAGGAGGATTGGATCTATCTAAGTACCCACCACCACTATGCTGGGCCTTCTGGAACAAGATTCTCCTCTGAAATGTGGATGGATCTGGAGATCCCTCACTTCATTTAGCTTGCCATCTTTATATTTTATTGATTTTACTTTAATTTATTTGATTGTTTCGAGCTACCCATAGCTGTTCAAAGTTGGGCAGCAAGTTTAATAAATGTTATGTACTCAACTATGTGAAATCACAGCTACAGTCTTTAGCTGGTGTTGGCCTTTATAAACATTGATTCTTTTCAAGAACTTAGGATATTCAGTGTTTAATTGACAGATGGAAATTTTGTCCATGTGCTGCTTTTAAGTGCTGCTAAGATTTTTTGGTATGGCACCTATTGTGTCACCACAGGACTACCAGAGAATCAACTGTCTGGTGTATTTGCCATAATCTTTCAATTTTGATTTTCAAAGTTTGATATTTTGTAATCCTTTCCAATTATTATCTTCTATTATACTATATCCTGGTACTGCCATATCAATTATCCACAGTTTCTTTTTCTCAAACATAGTTACATTGGGTGTACTATATTTAGAAACCCCACAATATTTTAATTTGCTAATTTATGACCACTGTTTCAACTATATGTTCCTACCATTTTTTCACTACTGGAACATGACGATTTTTATGGTTGTTCCAATAAATCATTTTGGCAACTGTGACTTTATCATTAATATTATTGTGGTTGATCGCAGAATCAGTTAGATGTTTAGACTGGATTTAGTATTTGATCCACCTATGGAGTCCTTCTCAAGGATCTGCAATCATCAGATGCTATTTGATGGTGTTAAAGGTATCATTGCATAGTGTAAGCTGTTCCAAGTAAAGCTGCCTTTTGCAATTGTGTGATAGGGATTCTGTCAGTGCTGATGGTATTCAATTAGCGCTCCAAGTGATTTGGGATTGTACCCAAGACACCTGTTACTGTTGGTACTATCTTTGCTTTCTGTTGCCATTGTCAGTCTACTTCTATTTTTTCTCTTCTGTCTGCTGTCTCCAGATACTGCCACATTGACTATCCAGATTTTTTTTTTTGCCTTTCTTACCTTATTAGGTTTGGGCAAGTGCTTGTCTGTTTATATTCTAAAGTCCCAGAGCATATTAGCATCTTCATTTTCTATTACTTTGTTTATGTTGTGGTCCCTCTAATTCTTGCTAGCAAAGAATGGTATTTTTTGCAGATAGGAAAGAAATGCACCGTTGTTGCTGCTTTGTCAGATCTTTGTGGTCAGTCTGTGTTATCTTCTTGCAATTGCTAACTATGTGGTCCACTGTCTCTTCAGCTTCTTTGCAGAGGTGGCATTTGCTGCCTGTTGCTGTCTTCTGGTTTTGCATAGATGTGTTCTTAAGGCTTGGTCTTGTGCAGACAGAATTAGACCCTCTTCAACTGTCCTGCTCTTTGCCATTGCCAGGTCTTGTTATCTGCTTTGTCCACTAGTTTTTTTATGCACTGGCCATATAATACTTTGCCTTGCCATGTCTCTTTTCTATTCTGCATTTGGTCTTTCTTGTAGGACAGTTTGGTCTCTCCAGTACTCACTAAGTCTTCATGGTATATTATCTTCAATGCATCTTCTTAACTATCCTTCAGCTATTCTTCCTATGCCCTTTTTTTCTTGTTCAACTGTCTGGGTATTTGCAACATTACAACATTATTGTTATGTTATTATTATGGTTGATAATGGTTGAGTCAGCCACATGTTTAGACTGGATTTGGCATTTTTATTCACTTATTAAATCTTTCCTAAGGATCTGGGACTATTATATATTAATAATAATAAATTATGGTTTGTCAATTATTAATATAAATCCCAAGATTGTCTTCTATAGGAAGCTAGCATAATTGCTTCCCCCTCTGAAATAAAATCCACCTAGATATTCTAAAGGTACTTTTAGGAATGTCTGTAAAATTTGATTTTTCCATTAGGTTTTGGACTATTGTTGTGACTATTCCTCTGCATAAATTATTTTGTGGTTCTGTAT